CCCAACCCCCACCTGTGGCTACTCAAAGCTAGGCTCTGCCTAGCGGTCCCAACCCGGCAACCGTCTCGACCGGTTGGTTAAATCCGACTCTATTCTCGCACTCCTTATTCTCTCCCTTTCCTTCTAGCCCCCTCTTTCCTCCGCAATCCTCCAACTCAGTCTCATACCCTCACCCTTTCCCCATTGTCGAAAGGTCCAATGACGAGGGCGACAGGTAATCACGTAGACGATCTAGGCTATATGGCAGTTCCCTTACTAAATACATAAATGTGACCCATAGTGGAGTTCGGCAGACGTCTAGGACGACTTAGCAGCCCTGCTTAGAGACAGCAACAGAGAAGGCAGAGTTAACAATTTCTGCCAGCAGACCGCGATTCGCAGATCGCTATAATTACGGTCGAAACAATCGAACAAATAACAACTTTTCCCATCGCTTTTCACCCAGCCCAACGTTCAGGTTGGTGCCAGTTACATCTTCTGGAGCAACGCGAGGCCGGCATCGCCTTTGTCATCCGGACCGACATCGTGGGGCATCTGCTGCAGGACACCAACGATCGCCTGATGAGCCTTCGCCTGTCTCTTCGGCACAAAAAAATATTACAGTCATTAGTGCATACGTCCTTCGATGACCAGCTCTGATCAGAAAATTAAAAAGTTCTACGAGGACCTGTATTCTGTTCTGGCGACTATGCCAAAGGCAGGCAAGTTGATTTTCTTTGATGATTTCACCACTTGCGTAGGCGACTTGGATGCATCCTCGGTGCCGAGAATAGCATCTCCTGGACTATGTCCCCGTCCGGCGACGTGATCATGAGGACTTGCTGGCGACAAAGGCAATATCGGATGCCGACGGATGGAACGATCACCGTCTCGTTACCTCCAAGACGAGGATCCGTCCTCAGCCACACAGAATACCTTAGGGTAAGCAACCATCAGTTCAATTAAACAGGGTTTCGTCGGATTTGCCTACTAATCAGCTACATTTTAATAAGGAGCCGGCTCAGCGGCCAGCCAATCTTCCAGTCGCACATGAGAACGCTTCCACGGAGAACCGATAGTGCCAACCGAGGAATACAGCCCAATTCACTGCCCCAAGTATCTTGGGTCGCGCACGTCTTCAAAACCAGGACTAGTTTGACGAAAACGACACAGCCATCAGCAATGTGCTCGTGGAGAAAAAGCGGCTGCAGAAAGCCTACGTTGACCGCCCTATCGACACGAACAAATCAGCCTTCTACGGAAGTCATCATCTTGTGTGACTGCGGCTGCGGGAAATTCAGAACACCTGGGTGGCTTGCAAGGCCGAGGAGATTCAAAGCTACCCGGACCGCAATAAATGGAAGAACTTTTTCCGTGCGCTCAAGGCTGTCTTAGGTCCCACAATCAAAAGAACTGTTCCTTTTCTCAGCACTGACGGAACTATCTTGTTCGCTGAGAAGACGCAAATCCTGAAGCGCTGGACCGAGCACTTCCAAGGCGTCTTCAGCCGCCCCTCCACCAACTCCGATGCCGCCATCGACCGACTGCCCCGAATGGAGACGAAAGCTAACCTCGATCTCCCGTCTGCTTTTCAGGAAATCATCAAGACCGTGCAGGAACTCTCCACCAGGGAAGAGCCCGGATCAGACGCGATCCCTGCTGAGCTTTACAAGTACGGCGTCCCTCAACTTATGACCAATTCCACAACGCTCTTCCAGGAAAAGTGACGTCAAGAACATGTCGCACATGACTTCAAGGACACTAAAATCGTTCACCTCTACAGGCGGAAAGGGAACTGTCAACTCTGCGACAATGATCAAGAAAACTCAATGTGGGGCATAACTGGATAAATCTTCGCCCACGTTCTCTTCAACCGCCTAAATAGCTATTTGAAGCAAAGACTTGTGGCCAGGTCCCAGACTTATTTGACCTTAAGCATTCTCGCCTCTATGTTTCCTTGACTGACTCTTGTGTTTTAAAGCGTTGACCACACAGCTGGAACTTTATCGTTGTATACAGGACGACAGGACTCAATTGCTTTACATTCAGGTTGTAATTATTTTATTACTATTTCACATAAATGGCACTATTGCTGTTTGCTGATGGACGCCTACCGTGCCGAGCGTCCCGGAATTCACATCGTATAGAGAACTGACGGGCAGCCCCTCACCATCCGACGTATGCAGACCCCCACGGGCGTTTCCAAGGCCACCGTGCACGATCTACTTTTCGCAGATGACTGCGCGCTCAACACCACGACAGGGGATGACATGCAAAGAAGTACGGAACTCTTCGCCGTCGGTTGCGTCAACTTTGGACTCACCAGCCTTTTACGTTTAAGCCACCCCATAAAGCCCTCTTGGTTAATATGACTCCTCACTTGGACTGGTCTCCCGTCCTCAGTACACGTCACGCCTATCAGCTGCTTCTGTTTCCAAAACATAACCACCATCAACACGGAAAGTCGATGGTCATGCACCAACCGCCGCCCGGTTTTGGCGGATCAACACCTAGCTCAAAACTGTAGACAACTTCGACTATCTCGACAACACGTTATCTCAAAACATCAGAATCGACGACGAGATTACGCATCGGATCTCTAGAGCCAGCCAGGCAATCCGCCGGTTTCAACCCTCCGTTTGTAACCGCCATGGCCTCTTATTGTCAACCAAACCGAAGATGTACAAGACCGTCGTCTTCAAACCACTCTTATAGGAAACGGAGATCTGAACCGTCTACGCAGCCCAAACACAGAAACTGAAGCCTTTCCATCTCAGCTGCCCCCACCGAATACTGAAGTTGAGATGACAGGACAGGAAAGTACTGGAGAGGACGGGAATCCTCAGCATCCACGCCATGCTGGAGCAGCTTCAACTGCGATGGAGCGGCGACTTAGTGCAGATGGAAGAGCAACAACTGCCCAAACGGTTGTCCTACTCTGGTGTCATTGTGGGTGCTCGCTGCAGAGGAAGACAAAAGAATCACTACAATGACATCCTGAAGAACCGATGTGGCCGGTCAAATTGCTGCCGCCAAGGCCAAAATGACAGCTCACAAGTCATGAACTCACCGGAGTAACGCTACCAATGCCCAAGCCCTCCCGATCTGCCCACGCCGTCAGCACACCTCTCGCGCACGTATCGACTTGGTCCGTCATCTCCAGACGCAATGCGCCATCCCTCCGACGAACTCCAATTCTATGGTGACGAACACTTCATCAGTCCCTCCTGTTTCCGCACTCCGATGACGACTGCCCTCACCACAGATGTTAAACTACCCGATGCTCCGCTGTCCTCACCTGCCGACACAATCATCCCTACTGCGGCCCCCACATTGATCGCAACGCCGACCACCAAAGACACGACAAGTAAACTCTCCCCACCCCCTCCGAAGCACCAACTTCTACCACGACCTCCATCACCATAATTGACCCCTCTGCCAGCACTACGAACTCGAGCCTTACTTGCCCTCATTGCGATCGCACATTCACTTTACGTATAGGCCTAGTCGGTCACTTGCGAAACCATCGCACAGGTATTGATAAACAAGCGCCTGGGACGTCAACACACAACAGAGACCGCCATTTCCAAGGTCCTCAGTGCTTTGGCATATTCACTCATCGCATGGGCCTATTCGGTCACATGCGGAAACATAACAACGGAACTCACCGCGATTTCGACATAACCAGCACGTTCTACACATCCATCACAAGTCAAACCACAGCCCTTCAGCTGGCAAGACCACCACCAACAACATCGACAGCTTTATTGCATCAACACTCACCGATAGATCCTGCACTCAATGTCATTGCATATGCACATCACGCATCGGCCTGGCCAGTCACTTGCGAATCCGTCGCACAAAGGCTGAGTAACCAGTGCCTGGGGTTCAGACATACAGCCGCCGCACCCACCTTCTCTGTCTGCACTATATGCATACATTACCACATTGCATGAGTTTATTAC